CAGGGAGGAGGAGGGCCAGTGGGGGACTGTCGATCGTCGCGCCAGGAGGCGGGGACGGAGGATGCGAGTGAGTCTCGAGTTGCCTGGGTCGCCCAGCTTCACGCCTCGCGCCCCGCGGTCATCTTCGCGCCCTCGCGATGCCACCTGGGAGCAGGGCGCCTCTCCGACCCCAAGCCGCGACGAGGAGGAGGAGGAGGAGGAGGAGGAGGGGCAGGAGGAGGAGGAGGAGGAGGACCAGTGTAAATCCAAGACTCATCAATGATGTTGGCATAAACCATCGCTCAAAGCTCCTCCTTCATAGGCCCTTATAAATTCCATGCCCGAGACAACCGTTAGACGATCCTGAAGCGTGCCAAAGCACCATTCTCGGGACTCCAACGCAATCAACCTGACTGTTTGGCAATCCTGAGTCTTATCAGAACACCATTCATACCATTTCAACACCGCGAACCAACGTAACTGTTGCCTGACAATCCTGAATCGTTCCAACACGTACTGATACGTTGACCATGGGAACCCGTGACACCCTTGCACATGCCATGGGAACCCGTGGCACTCTTGCACATGTTCGAGACGAATTAGCCCGGCGCTATAGCGAGAACACCATATCCAAAACAAACCGCCCTCAATCCGCGAAACCCTTGCATCTTTCCAGGACGAAAGTACGCGGCGCTAAGGCGAGAACCACATTTTGAAAACGGCCTGGCCTCAATCTGTGAAGCCCTTGCGATCTTTAAACGAATGCGCGCGGCGCTAAGGCGAGCATCATCTTTTGAAAACCACCCGCCCTCCATGTTTGAATCTGTTGCCAATTTTCAAACTTCAGGATCGGAGATCGTAAGGAAGTCTCTGGCGAAACGCTCGGCCCGCCCTTTCGACCAGCCTCGGGGAGCGACACGGAGGAGTTATCTATAAGGGAAACAACTGGAGGAGGAGGAGGAGGAGGAGGAGGAGGAGGAGGAGGAGGAGGAGGAGGAGGAGGAGGAGGAGGAGGAGGAGGAGGAGGAGAGGGGAAGGGTCCATGGATGCGCGCTTGAGTGACGAACACGACCCACGGCGAGGCAAGGGGAGGAGCCATGGGGAGGGGAGCCATGGGGGAGGAGGGCGAGAGGGAGGACCGGGGGGACGAGCCGCCAAGGATGACGGATTGGAAGGGGGAGTGAGGACGGAGGAATGAGAGGACGGAGGAAGAGGACAGGCAAGAGGAGGAGGTTGAGGACGAGGAGGAGGAGGTGGAGGTGGTGGAGGAGGAGGAGGAGGAGGTGGGGGAGCTAGATCAAACAAGGTTTTTGGAAGTGAATCCAGACATGCTCGGACGGCCCTCGGAGGTTTCGGGAGGGGGCGGGAGAGGCGGATGGGGAAGGGGGGAGGGGGGCGAAGGCACCAATCCCTTGTCCTCCTCCTCATGCTTCTCCTCCCCTCGCCTTCCCTCACTCTCCGGCCTGCCCGCCCCCTCCCCTCCCCTACCCTCCCCTTCACCCGCCTAGCTCCCTTCTCTCCCTTCTCCCCTCCTTGCTCCGCGTCTACAGTACTTCTCATCCTGGCCTCCTGATGCGGAACCAGAAGGGAAGGGGCGATGGTAGCAAGAGAAGGGGATAGGGGGTAGCAGTTGAACAGAGGGGAGAGGGTGTGCGGATCAGAAGGAGGCGGAGATGGCGGGAGCGCAGGCTGGGGAATGGGGTGGCGACAGGGAATACTTATAGGGCTCAGGTTGGAGAAATGGCCGACCGAACCGACAAGGAAGCCCAAACCGACCGAGACCGACAGGACGCATGCAGCCCAAGAACGGCGCAACGACGCAATAGCTGCAAAGCCGACCGAACGGAACCGAACGAAACCGACTGCGGAACGGCCAGACCGACCGAACCGTGGACACCCTGGACCTGAAGAGCGTGCACTCGAACGGGCAGCGACATGGGGCGACATGCCCGGAGGAGGGGGCGCCATCAGGCTTGAATCGGAAACACATCTCAAGGTGGGGGGACATCAATAGTGAATCGGCGATGCATCTCAGGGGGGAACATCAAGCTTGACTCGGCGAAGCATCACCGACTCATCAGCGATAGCCTCAATGAATAATTAAAACCCCCCCTCCGGCAAAAGGATGAAACTTCCCGCGCCGGGAAGCGTTATCCCAGCACCCGCCGTCAGCAGGAGGAGGATGATGCTGACGATGATGAGGACGAGAAGGAGGAGGAGGAGGAGGAGGAGGAGGAGGAGGAGGAGGAGGATGGGGGAGGAGGAGTCCTCCCTGTCCTCCTCTCTCCTCCTCCTCACGCCTGGGACTTCCTTGCCATCTATGAGCCTCAGGCTTAAAACTGGCAACAGTTTCACTGGTGAAAGGCGGGTCGCTTCCAAAATGTGGCTCTCGCCTTAGCGCCGCGCGCATTTGTTGCAAACACTTGCAAGGGCTTCACGGATTGAGGGCGGTTTGTTTTGGAAATGTTGTTCTCGCCTTTGCGCCGCGAACGTTCGTTTTAAACACTTTGCAAGAGCTTCACGGATGGAGGGCGGGTCGCTGCGTCGCTTCCAAACTCCTGCTCTCGCCTTAGCGCCGCGCGCATTCGTTTTACATATTACTAAAACTTCCTACGTACCACTAAGTACTACAACGCATTACTAAACATTACTACTAAGCATTCGTAGCACTACTACTAAGTACTGCTAACCAGTACAAGGCATTCGTAACACTGCTACTAACCAGCACTGAATAGTACTAAGCACAAGCTACTACGACTGCTGATACTGAGTAGTCGTACCAGTACCACTACACCAAATGACTCGCAATACTAAACACTACTACGAAGTGCTACTACTACGACTACTGGTACTACTACTCAATATTAGTGTACTACACATACGGCTTAGAAATAATACCATTTTCTTCTCCATGCTACGACTACGACTACTACGACAATTACGACTACTACGACTACGGCTACGGCTACGACTACGACAACAATAACGACCTACGACTACTACTGCTACTACTACTACTACTGCTGCTAGTACTACTACTACTACTACTACTACTACTACTACTACTACTACCTGGTACTACTACTACTACTACTACTACTACTACTACTGCTACTGCTACTGCTACTGCTACTACTGCTACTACTGCTACTACTGCTACTACTGCAACTACTACTACTACTACTACTACTACTACTGCTGCTACTACTACTACTACTACTACTACTACTACTACTACTTACAACACTGCTTGCGCTAGTGGTATTCTTGATATTAGCACTACAAAATCATGTCGACTGTGCACGTACCATTGTTATGACTACGGCTACCCGCGGACGGGAAACATGTTTTTAGCCGTTCTGCAATGCTAAGATAGCGCTCCGTGCAAGGGCGGGGGCGATATCCTGGGGTGGACCGCCTCCTAGGACGGCCGACGAACATCAATCTCTCATTGGGTTTTGAAATAAGAACCGTCGACGACGGGGACGGTGTAATAAGCCCGTCTGGGAGTACTACTACTACTACTACTACTACTACTACTACTACTACTACTACTACTACTACTACGACGACGACGACGACGACGACGACGACGACGACGACGACGACGACGACTACTACTACTACTACTACTACGACTACGACTACGACTACTACTACTACTGCTGCTGCTGCTGCTACTACTACTACTACTACTGCTACTACTGCTACTACTGCTACTACTACTATCATCACTGCTAGCGCTAGTGGTATTTTTGATATTTGTACTCGCAAAATCATGTCGGCTGTGCACTGGTTATTGTTATTACTAGGGCTACCCGCGGACGGGAAACCTGTTTTTGCCAGTCTGCAATACTAAGATAACGCTCTGTGCGGGGCGAGGGCGATATCCTGGGGTGGATCACCTCCTAAGACGGCCGAACATCAATGTCTCATTGGGTTCTGAAATAAGAACCGTCGACGACGGGGACGGTGTAATAAGCCCGTCCCGGAGGACTACTACGACTACGAATGCGACTACGACTACGACTACGACTACGACTACGACTACGACTACTACTACTACCACTACTAGTACTAGTACTAGTATTAATACTAGTACTAGTACGAGTCCGAGTACTAATACTAGTACTAGCACTGGCACTAGTTCTACTACTTCTACGGCTACTACTAGTACTACCACTCTTGCTACTACTACGACTACGACTACGACTACGACTACGACTACGACGACTACTACTACTACTACTACTACTACGACTACTAGTACTACTAGTACTACTAGTACTACTAGTACTACAACAACTACTACTACTACTACTACTACTACTACTACTACTACTACTACTACTACTACTACTACTACGACTACGACTACGACTACTACTACTACTACTACTACTACTACTACTACTACTACTACTACTACTACTACTACTAGGAGTACTGCTACTACTACTGCTACTACTACTACGACTACGGCTACTAGTGCTGCTCCTACTACTACTACTACTACTACTACTACTACTACTACTACTACTAGTACTGCTACTAGTACTGCTCCTCCTCCTACTACTACTACTACGATTACTACTGCTAAGTAGAACTACTACTCCTCCTCCTCCTCCTCCTCCTCCTCCTCCTCCTACTACTACTACTACTACTACTACAGCCCTTAGCATTTCTACGATGACTCTTCTCCTTCTATCATTACTACGGCCGCTGCACTGTGCTGCTGCTACTACTACTACTACTACTACTGCTACTACGAAAAAATACCAGTCGAAGTACTCCTCCTCC